AATATAATAATACAGTATATATAAATAAATATATAGATATATATATATACAAAATATATATACATCATATAAATATATATAATATAAATGAATATATAAATAAATATATATATATATAAATACACAAATAAATATAAAAATATATAAATAAATATAAAAATATATAATTAAAAATATAAATATATACAGTATATATAAAATAATATATATAAATAAATATATGAATAAATTTTATTTTAAGTTTATATATATAAATATATCTGTATGTATGTATATGTATATCTGTATTTTAAGAACATCTCTATCAGCGCTGCATACTTTCGGATCGACGACCAAAAGTGTATGTACTGCGCATGACTGGACTACACAGGCAAAGCTCCCCGGTGGAAAAAAAAAGGATTTAAAATGTATGGCTCTCTGGCTCACATGGCTCGCGCATTTGCTTGCATTATTCGCTGGCTCGCACTTTGTCACGACCCAATTGGAAGTGCCACAAAGAGCATGTTATGCCACTAGGCAATATATTAGGCATATGAACATAAAGCTAAAAACGCAAAAAAGCAACTCTTATGTACGCTGAGATTGGTATTTTTTTCATGTGATAGTATGTTTATTTGTAGCGATAAGCATCTGTGCTGTACATGAATATATTCTTATTTAATAAAAATACGATTTATTACATTCTTCATTGATTGTTTATTTTATTCAGCTGTTTAAAAATCCTATTACTGTACACGCTGGTCTTGGTCTCGAAAATTGTGGGTCTTGGTCTCGGACTTCCGGTCTTGGTCTTGGACCTCTCGGTCTTGGTCTTGGTCTCGGGATGTGTGGTCTTGGTCTTGGTCTCGGATGGCCTGGTCTTGACTACAACACTGCTCAATATTCTCTCTATAACAGAAAGTTTCACCAGCCCACGTGTTTTGTTGCGACATCGTAAATGAAGCTGCTCACGTGACCTCGAAGACCAAAAACTGTTGTTTTGAGCGACGCGATTTCGAACAGAAACAGCATGTTTCAAAATTGTTTATGAGTGAACGTAATTATGAAAATAATTATTTAGACAACCCAAACCATTGCTTGAATGTCGTAGAAAATGTAGTAGGAATCCTAGTAGGAATCCTAGTACAGTACAGCACTGTAGTGAGTATAATTACAAATTCTAGGCCTTATTATTCGGGCTAGTATGGGCCCAAGCTAGACAGACTTATATTTTTAAAAGTTACACAATGACAAATACATTTATTAAATGATTGAAATACATATACCAAGATAAATTACGTTTGTTGGTAAACAAGCAAAATTATATTACGAAAATCAAACCAAGCCGGCTCCGTGGTGCAATTTTGAGTCGAACTTTTTTACGAGGAGACTTGCGAACCATATCGCGGATACCCCATCTGGGTTAATTTGCTGTCGCGTCGATCGTTTCGGAGATCATGCGTTGTTCAATAATGGCTTTTGAAAGAATAGAAATTCTTGTTTTAACAAGTACTTGTTTGGTCAAGAAATATGATTTAGGACATTAGATTCTGTATTTAAAAAGTAAAGTTTTGGTTCTTAGGGCTTAGCAAGAACCAGCCCATGATGAGCCTAGGTTTCAGGCCACTATTTTATTTTTACCTCCGT